ATCTCGGCTCACCGCGACCTCCGCCTCCTGGGTTCAGGCAATTCTCCTGCCTCAGCCTCCTGAGTAGCTGGGATTACAGGAGCACGCCACCATGCCCAGCTAATTTTTTTTTGTATTTTTTTTTAGTAGAGACGGGGTTTCACCATTTTGACCAGGATGGTCTCGATCTCTTGACCTCGTGATCCACCCACCTCGGCCTCCCAAAGTGCTGGGATTACAGGCTTGAGCCACCGCGCCCGGCCTGACTTTTTTTTTTTAAGGGAATACTGGCTGGGCGTGGTGGCACATGCCTGTAATCACAGCTACTTGGGAGGCTGAGGCAGCAGAATCACTTAACCCTTGTGGCAGTTGCAGTAAGCCAAGATCATACCACTGCACTCCAGCTTGGGTGACAGAGCAAGACTCTGTCTCAAAACAAAACACATGGATTAAGGAAGTCTTATTAATGTCAAAAGCTGGTACAGATGGCATTACCTGTTTGGAGGGCGTGTTATTTGTAGCAGATGGGTACTTGATGTTCTGCAACTTCTGAAAGGCCTCCTGATACTGCTCAGGGGTGTCAAGGCTGAAGATGCTCTTCCACACTGCAGTCACCCTCTCCATGAAAGGCCCTTCGGTGCCTGTGGTCCAAGTGTGATAAGAGGAGGAGCCTTTGCCCTCTGAAAGCTGCTTTTCCTCTAGATGCCTGAACAGTAGCTCCAGAAGGCAAAATACCAATCTCTGACCCTGGAACAGAACAGCAAGGAAGAGAAACTGTTATACAGGGAAAGCACTTGGATGATCTCGAGAGCTCTCCAGAGTCCTTCAAAGTATTTACAAGCTTTGTAGGTCCAAGAGCTGGGACAGGCATTAGGGGCCATGTCCAAACAGGTTTAATAGAGTAAATCAGCTGGGAGAGAAGAAAACAGAAGCATAGAGAGAAGCCCTTGACAATCTGTTTTCACTAGATTTTTAGTTGCCATACGATTCCTTGTATACCCCTATAACAATATCTTCTCAGTTAAGCTTGGAAGGGTCTATGTTCCACATAGCCAATATAGCCCTTATCAGAATATTTAGCATATGCTTATTAGGTTCTTGCATTGTTAAGGATGCTGTTTAAGAGAAAAAATAAAATGTTAAACAGTCATTCTGGAAACTTTTTTTGGTTGTGGATAAATTAAAATCTCTCTAGGGTTGCTCATTTTATAAATAATGCTCAGTGGCATTATCTTTTAATGTGTCCTATTTTTGCCTCCATTTTTATTCTGCTGTTCCCAGTAAGCTACCTCCCCATGTACCATGTTCCTTGGGCTCTAAATATTCAGCTAAAAACCATCTTTAGGCCCTGTACTCTGCTAGGGAACAAAGAACTTAAAAAAAAAAAAAACTCATTAGTATCTGATAAAGTTATCTAAAATGAATCAAATGTTTACATGTTTTGGAAACTAGGTAAGAATGCTAATGCTTTAATCTGTTTTGATGTGTCAAAAAGGCAGTGGTAAGTTACTCATTTTTAACCAGATGGGAACCAAAAAAATTTAAGAAATAAGACATTTCTATTTCCCCACACTTTTCTTTTTGTTTTCTAGAGACCGAGTCTCACTCTGTCGCCCAGGCTGCAGTGCAGTGGCATGATCGTGGCTCAATGCAATTTCTGCCTCCTGGGTTCAAGTGATTCCCCTGCCTCAGCCTCCTGAGTAGCCGGGATTACAGACATGTGCCACCATTCCTGGCTAACTTTTGTATTTTTAATAGAGACGAGATTTTACCATGTTGGCCAGGCTGGTCTTGAATTCCTGATCTCAAGTGATCTGCTGTGCCTGGCCCAGTTTTTTCTATAGCTTATAGTTAACAGGGGTGTTACAGGTAGAGTTCCATGATTTCTGTTAGAGGCCAAACATTCTTTCTTCAAGGAAGATAGTGCTGATAATATCAATGAAGAAACCCTAAACTGCCAACCCAAGGCCTGGGCTGACTATAGTCTTCACAGGTGTTTTGTACAAACAGATAAGCAATGGGAATTACTGTGAATGACCATACTATCTCTTACTCTGAATATGGTAACTAACAAGCCATAGTACTTCAGTGGAATAGCATGGCCAGGGCTTGCTGGGCCTGCCAAATTGGCACAGCTTGTGCAACTGGGTTATTAACTTGGATTTGACTAGAAAAGGATTTGAGACACTTCCGACTTATATACTAGGAGATAAAATAACAGACTGACCTGTAGACTTGCATGCAGCTGCAGGGCTTCCTGGGCTCCCACCCAGTTGTTGGCCAGAAGCAGCTCTTGGGCACATCTGAGAGCCAGGGAAGCAGACAACTCATCCTCTCCTACGATGCCAGCCAACTCTGCAGCCGTTCTAAGTGATGCTGCATCCCCCTTTTTGGCCAAAACTTTGGCTGCATCATAAGCAGAAGTGGCCCCTAAATAGCTATAATATGAATAAAAATGTGAACAAAATGTCATAAACAGATCTTTTATTCCCACTCCCTAGAGGATGCAATTGTTTCTTTCTGTCCACTTTGCTACATGTGCCTTCCTGTGGTCCCAGGTGTGTCACTGCCCCTGGTTGTTCTTGTGAAGGCTGAGGCCAGCACAGTTCCGCAGAGTGTATGAGAAACAATATCATATAGGTTAAGGACATAAGGAAAATGAGAGGGAATGACTCCTCTGGGTTCAATTCAGCATGGGCTGAGGTTCCTTTATTTGATGTTGTAAGAGATCATTAGAAAAATGCGTAATTTCTGAATCTGCCACTGAGGTTTCTTGAACAGTTATGGTGATTTTTTTTTTTTTTTTGAGACACAGTCTTACTTTTGTCACCCAGGCTAGAGAGCAGTGGCATCATCTCGGCTCACTGCAACCTCTGCCTCCCAGGTTCAAGTGATTCTCCTGCCTCAGCTTCTCGAGTAGCTGGGATTACAGGCATACCCTGCCACACCTGGCTAATTTTTGTATTTTTAGTAGAGATGGGGTTTCACCATGTTGGTCAGGCTGGTCTTGAACTCCTGACCTTGTTATCCACTCGCCTCGGCCTCCCAAAGTGCTGGGATTACAGGCATGAGCCACCAGGCCCAGCCAGTTATGGCGATTTGTATAAATAAATCAGGAGGTAGTTCCTGATGAGTCTTATGAAACTGGATTGAATATACGTATCTTTTAAATAGTTTCTTGCTGCTTCACTTCCACCTCTAAACTTATTTTTTTTTATTTTATTTTTTTTGAGACGGAGTTTCGCTCTTGTTACCCAGGCTGGAGTGCAATGGCGCGATCTCAGCTCACCGCAACCTCCGCCTCCTGGGTTCAGGCAATTCTCCTGCCTCAGCCTCCTGAGTAGCTGGGATTACAGGCATGTGCCACCAAGCCCAGCTAATTTTTTGTATTTTTAGTAGAGACGGGGTTTCACCCTGTTGACCAGGATGGTCTTGATCTCTTGACCTCGTGATCCACCCGCCTCGGCCTCCCAAAGTGCTGGGATTACAGGCTTGAGCCACTGGGCCCGACCCTCCACCTCTAAACTTATTACTTGTATTCTTGTCCTGCTCTTCTTGGCAGAAGCTCTTCTATGTTGGATGCATCCCTCCTCTCCTCAGGCTTACCATTTGGCTGCTATGGCATAATGGCCATCTCTTTCTAGGACGGTTCCCCAGCTGAGGTACAAGTCCTTCAGGACTGGGTCCTCTGGGCGCAGCCGGGCCTTGGCAATTGCAATAGCTTCCCTAAAGGCAAGAACAGACACTTTAACCACTCTGAAAAGGCTCCTCTGTGTATGGCCCTAGTAGCGGCTACAGGACAGGACAAACTATCCCTTTTGAGCTGTCTTTATAATTCCAACTTCCTTTAAAACACTGCACTTGCATTATATAGACAAATTAAAAACATATGGTGTGTTTGTTTCCTCACTTAGATCAGCAGTTCTTAAAAATTGTGGTCTGTGGATTCCTAGGGGTCCTCAAGACCCTTTCAGGGTATTCATGAGGTTAAAACTATTTTTGTAACAACGCTAAAAGTAAGTTATGTGCCTTTTTTTTTTTTTTTTTTTGAGATGGAGTCTCGCTCTGTTGCAGAGGCTGGAGTGTAATAGTACAATCTCAGCCCACTGCAACCTCTGCCTCCCGGGTTCAGGTGATTCTCCTGCCTCAGTCTCCCAAGTAGCTGAGACTACAGGCGCACGCCACCACACCCGGCTAATTTTTGTATTTTCAGTAGAGACAGGGTTTCACCCTGTTAGCCAGGACGGTCTTGATCTCCTGACCTTCTGATCTGCCTGCCGCGGCCTCCCAAAGTGCTAGGATTACAGGCATGAGCCACCGTGCCCGGCCGTGCCTTTTTATTTAAAATAAAAAAACCTGTGTTGACATTTGCAGTGATTGTGCACAAGCAATGATTGGTAAATTCTGGCATTTTAAAAAAGAAGGCAGTGGCTCTTACAGTGGAAAAAAAAGGAGGAATGCACTCGATGAAGTAGTAAAAATTACTAACTTGACTAAATCCCTCAAGTCCAAAACACGTTAATATTCCGTGTGACAAATGGAAAGAACATTTTGTGTTCTCTGCTGCATTCCAAAGTAGGACGTACCCCTAGGAAGCAGCTGTATGAATGAACTGAGACCTACACTGGCTGCTTCTTCCACAGAACCTCATTTCTTCTTTAAAAAAAAAAAAAAAAAAAAAAGACTAACACAAATAACAGTTATTCAGTGTGGGGTATTTGTCAGATGTTTTTCTCAAAAGAAAAAAAAAATGAACAAAGTAGGCCTACCACTTCAGAAAAAACAGCCAACAGTATTTGTTACTAATGATAAAATGTGAGTTTTCCAGCAAAAATTAGAATTTTAGAAATCTTGTACCTACCACTTGTGAGCTTGACATTTTCCCCTAAGTCAGAATTTTTCTGATGAGACTGATGGTGATAATAATGAACACAATACTTTAGGGTATTTTATAATGAGATATGTTAACATTTGGACGATCTATACAACTCAGTAAATGAATATTTTTCAAATGACATACAACTGCTGAGGTGCAGCCAACATAAAGTTGTAGCTGGAAAAAAGTGTTTTATTAGATGAAAGTGATCTAGAGAGAGCAATATCTTGAAAGTATTTTGGGACTTCTATTTCCGGTCATGATGGAATAACTGGGACCAGGCCCCCTTACTGCCATAAAACTAAAAAACTGGACAAAATGTCTGAAACAACTGTTTTCAGTCACTGCAGGCAGCACAGGACCGTTACCCCGAAGAGAACAGAAACTAACAACGTGAGCCCTATCTTGGCACTGGCTTTCTGCTTAAAGCCATTTTCCTAAGGAAAACCCAAGCAAAACCTCAGCAGTCTCTGATTTGAGAAGAGGAAACAACGGAAATCTGAGGGGCAGGATACTAGGAAGGAGGAAGCTGTCCAGACAAAGATATCCACAACTCTGCCTGGGGATCCCAGTGAGTCTTTGGCTAAATTCAAAGCCATATGTACAGGAAACTCCTTAAGTCTAAACAAAGAATGACTTTGGAATTGTAAGCTGAACAATTCCCAGACATGACAGCACTTGGAGACATCTGAGTTTTGATTTGTTGAATGCATAAGGCATTCAATAAAGATACCAGAATGTAGGAGGTCCAAACTAATTCTAGAATATGATAAACCTGTCCTAACAAAGTATAAAAACAAGCCATGAAAAGATCAAGCTGATGCCCAACTTTACTACTTGCCAAAACAAAGTTCAATACTCTCTACAGGAAGACAACAAAAGCAAAGCAGGGTAGAACAAAAAGAAAATCTTGACCAAGTGTGGTGGCTCATGCCTGTAATCCCAGCACTTTGGGAGGCTGAGGCAGGAGGATCGCTTGAGCCCAGGAGTTGGAAATCAGTTTGGTCAATATAGTAAGACTCCGTCTCTACAAAAAACTAAAAAATTAGCTGGCTGTGGTGGCACGCACCTCCTGAGTAGTCCCAGTTACTCAGGGGGCTGAGGCAGGAGGACTGCTTGATCCCAGGAAGTCAAGGCTACAGTGAGCTGTGACTGTGTCACTGTACTCCAGCCTGGGCAACAGAACAACACCCTGTCTCAGGCAAAGAAAAAAAAAAAGAAAATCTCAAAAAAAGAAAATCTCACCAAAGCACATCATATCAAATTACTGAAGAATTATTGACGGAGAAAAAGTCCTAAACATAGCCAAATTTAAAAAAAAAAATAACAGAGATAAAATCAATGCAATAGCCAAGTCAAACACAATGTAAGCCAAGAGAATGAAATGACATCTTTGAAGTGCTGAAAGAGAAAAACTTTCAATCTAGAATCCTATACCCTGTGAAATAACCTCTGAAACAATCTCAAAGTGAAATTATACACTTTCACAGAAAAAAAAAAGTTGAAGTTCTTCAGGTGAAGGAACAGACAGCAACTGAAAACTTGGACCTACATAAATAATGAAAAGTGCTGAAATAATAAGCTTGTAGGTAAATGTAAAAAAATGTTTACAGAAGATCCTTTTGTAGTTCATGAGTATGAAGATTGGGTGTTCACACGCTTGTGTGAGATGTGCCACCCTTGCACCTTGTTAGGACGTCGGCACATTACCCATTTGACTTGGACTTGGAAAAAAATATATAAAAAAAAAAATTTATGAAAAATGTTTAAAGAGCCTGTGAGGCAGAGGTTGCAGTAAGCTATGATCTTGCCGCTGTATTCCAGCCTGGGCAAAAGGGCAAGACCTTGTCTGACCAAAAAAAAAAGCATCAACTGTTTAAACCAAAAATACTAATAGTGTAATGTGTGGTTATAACATGTATCTAATATACCAAATATATGACGAAAGGAGAAAGGATAGAGGAAAAAGTATGCTAGTATATATAAAAAGTGATATAATATTACTTGAAAATAAACTGATAAATTAAAATACTCTACTAAAACCACAAAAATTAGCTGGGTGTAGCGGCATGAACCTGTAGTTCCAGCTACTCAGGAGGCTGAGGCAGTGGAATCGCTTGAACCCGGGAGGTGGAGGTTGTAGTGAGCCAAGATTGCGCCACTGCACTCCAGCCTGGGTAACAGAGTGAGACTCTTTAAAAAAAGAAAAAAAAAAAAAAATTACTCAGGCTGCCAGGCATAGTAGCTCACACCCATAATCACATAATCCCAGCTCTTAGGGAGGCAGAGGCTGGTCTTGAACTCGGGCTCAAGTGATCTGTCCACTTCGGCCTCCCAAAGTGCTGGGATTACAGGCATAAGCCACAGCACCTGGCCAATGTTAATATATTTCCAAAAGAAAAGGTTAACTTGAGAGTAAATGAAAAGTTTTTGGGGTGTCTGGCAAGATTCAGTTTCCCTTCAAAGCTGGGAATTAAAAAGGGAGTTCCTCTTGTAACAGTTTGTTAAGCTGTTCTTTCGTTTTATGCTATTTCTTCTATTTATGTTACTTTAACAATAGAGAAGTTTAGATCATTTTCACATTATGTCCAAGTATTATCCCAACTCTAAGACCACACAGACCTGTAAAAATGGTTTGACTTGAGCAGTGCCACAGCTTCATACACTTTGTGGATGGAAAGTAGGTGAGAAGCAGCCTTGACATACTGATCCTGAAAACACAGCTGTTTGGCAAAAGCTTCCACAGCCCAGAGCCACACGTGGTAGCCAGCTGAGAAAATAAAAGATGGTGGTTAAAAAAAATGTTGAAGAAAAGGTAAAAACAAAACCAAGTACATCTGGGTCGAAAAAGCCTTGTTTTTAGTCAATGCATTCAGCCGAACATTTAGATACCAATTCAGCTACCATTACGGATCATCTGCTTCATCTACACATTCTGAAACGCCAACTGTTTGATTATGTAACACAAACAAAACAGTACAAAGTTGAAAAGATACAGAAGCCGGGCGCGGTGGCTCAAGCCTGTAATCCCAGCACTTTGGGAGGCCGAGGCGGGTGGATCACGAGGTCAGGAGATCGAGACCATCCTGGTCAACATGGTGAAATCCCGTCTCTACTAAAAATACAAAAAATTAGCTGGGCATGGTGGCGCGTGCCTGTAATCCCAGC